ATCTTGACTTCGTCGGGTATGGAGTTTCGGAGATGCTGGAGTTCTTGATCGGTGGTTGTGGTGGGAACGAGGAGACCTTTCTTGTTACTGGGAATGTGTTAGAGTATGTTCCTGTAGCATCGGTTGAATATGGCAAGGTGCCACAAGTCGGGATACATACCCAGCAGTCAGTCTGCCGACGATTCTGGTTCCAGCAATGGTGGCGTGGCAGATGGGGATGACATCTTGGAGTTCTGCTTCGAAGACACTGTCGCGCCACTGTCAGTACATATTTTTCGCAGTGTATGCTCGCCACGGTCGCACAACATGCTACCGCACTACATCGAGCCGGGAACAGCTACTGAGCTATGCGCACCTGTAAAAGTTCTCGCTTGCGCCGACTGCGACAATCGCATACGCATTTGTGAGTGTGGAGAAGACACCGACTTCGTTGGAGTTTTCGAACTGAGCGCGAACAGCCATGATTGTTGAATTGACGTTGGGGTCTTTTTGTGAGGCTCTTTGGTGTGGTTAGAAGAAAGATGGCAAGGGTATTTAGTGCGTGGTGGGTAAGCTGGTCGTGAATCTGCAGAAACTGTGAAGGCGGGACTATTTTGTAAAGAGCGACATCATAAGCCCCGCTACCCAATCGGAGCTAGCGCAGTTCGACTCATCCTGAGTGAACCCTGCATATGAGCAAAGTGCCACTGCGAACTTCGCCACTGCATCTACATGCTCGTGCTGCTATGACTGTGAATCTGAAGAGTCATCACTTGGCGAGTTCGTCGGATGAGATGACATGTTCGTCTTGTCGACGTGCTGCGACTCGTACCCGTCACCGTGCGTACTTTGGACGTGTTACTGGGATCGCACGTCCATTATCGTGAAGCAAGCCACCGTCCTTGACATCTGCAATACATGGCTGTGCACTCATCAATTTCGCAACATGCAGCCTCATGGCAACGCGACACAGCGCTTAGCAACGACCGGAAAGCTCGGTGATAAACTTTCGGAGCATTGATCAAAAGCGACACAAGTCCATGAAAGTGTTCGAGACTTGATCAGAGCATCCGCTATGAGCAAGCGCACGGTGCGACGCTCCACTTGACATATGTCACGACATTGCCGTCCTCTGTGGGCTGATCATACTGGAGCTCACAACTTTCGCGACTTCAACCTTGCGGTGATCAGTCCGGGGCGCAATGTAATGGAGAAGGTAATCGTTATATTGACGTCTCATCGTACAGTTGACGTAGAACGCATGATAATAATTACAAGATCATATAGTTCGTCAAGCCCCAACCGCGACGATATTATCCAGGAGCAGCGCACGGTTGACGCTACGCTTCAGATTCCCAGCCACCTCGACGACATCCTTGTCTTATATCAAACCCCCAAGACGATGTGACAGGTGACAAGTAACAAGTATGGAACACGAAGATAGTGATATTGTGAAGTGGCTGAGATGGCCAAATATTGCAAAGCAAATGGGTAATACGCTGTCGGCCATACTAGAACAAGCAGCAAAAAGAGAACGCCCGCTAAACTGCAGCATGCCGTACACGATACACGCGGAGAATCGAAATGCGAGAAATATACAACAGCGGCTGTGCGTAGACAAGGCAACGTACTCGAAACGAGATCAATTAGATGTCGAAGAGAAAGCACCTGCCGTGTGACGGAGCCAGAAAAACATTAACACTTGCGTGATGACATGATTATGTTCGTAAAATGGTTCGTAATGCAAGTGCACAGCGTGCAAATGTCGGATGTGGATGGAAAAGTTCGGCGACGACATCGTGGTGGAATCGGTTCGCCCGAGTGTAAAAGTGGGTGTCACTTATGACATTCGCGATGCGAGGATGGCCAACGCAACGATGACGCCGATCAGAAGCGTCCCTACTCCAGACATGACACGATTGAGGTTGCGCCACCAAGTTGCTTTCTGGAAAGACTTGTCATCGGCGGGACCCATAGCTTGGGCGAATTGCTGCTCCAAGTCGGCCTGGCTGACAGTGGGGGTGCCCACAGTATTGGGGTCCAGAGGCAAGGGGAGGAACGAAGCGATTATCCAAGCTGTAGTCCTAATTAGCAAATCTCTCCATACATAGACATCCGGCATTATAGCCAGAGTTGGTACTTACCAGGTGGGAAGATAAATCCTATGCAGAAAAGTAGGATTTGTCTATTTTGACGCCCGAAAAGTGTGGTGTGCATGTCGTCATCCAGAGATGGTGCGTTCCACGCGCTGTATCGTGTTTGACCTCTCTGATCAGTTCGGAGGTGTGGTGTTGAGTAGCCGCTGAGAGGGTACATGTTAGGTCCAACAGCATATACGGCTCCATCAATGGAGTGCACGTCGTCAGCTAGAGAGACGGTATCGGCGTGTGAAGCTCGGTTCCGAGGGCGATTCCGTGGCCGGTAAATGCTGAGCGGAAAGTTGCTCTCTGAAGGAGTGTGTGATCGCCCACTGTGAGAGGTTCCCAGCCGTATGCTACCAGAAGACTCGGATTCCGGAGCGCCGACTGATATACGCTCTCCTTTTTGGTAGTAGACCCTCGCCCATGCCGGGATGTTGTTTGCTAGGAACGTGGACATGTGGGACTGCGAGGATCCAGGCCGCGAGTCACTCATCGATACCGCATCAGTGCTGTTCGTTCTATGCAGATATCCAGAGTTTTTCATCCGTAGCGGAATCGACGTGGGCAGCGGTGAGATGGTATCCATGTGCTCACTGTTGTCATCGGACGAACTTCTGGAGGTTGGGGAGAACAGCGGCCGAGGTACTGCGACTGAGGAGAACTCGGTTTGACCTTCCGACGATACATTGTCCGATGACGATTGTGCGCTCCCAATAGTCTGCCCTCTCCGGCGTGGAATCGCTGTTCGACCATTGCCCGCATAGCTCTCTTGTGAATGTGATCTTGCGCCGATTGATCGTGAGTTTCGTGCAAGAGATCGCGAATCACGTTCGGACACGGAAGCGATGGTCGATAGCTGGGAGCTCCAGTGGTGGACCAGCGAGGGGTCATGCATCCGGGATGCAATATTAGGCGTATTTTGGGAATCAGCTCGCGAGCTGCTGGCCGACGGCGCGCGTACGACGGGATAATTAATTCGGATGCCGCTCGCAAAGGATGCTGTGCTTGCTTCATGAAGAGATGGCGATGGCTGTGATGAAGCGAGTGTATGTGTTGGTTCGATGCTGGTGTAGGAAATATCAGAAAACGTGAACGACTCTGTACTTTGCTGAGGATTCAATACAGGTTGTCGATAGTCAGTGTCACTAGTGAGAGCAGACCCCCTAGCTTGGGATTCGGCTGACGGAGTTTGCGGTAACGGTCGACCGACACTGACACTTGGCGAGTTTCCGACATTACTATTTGGGTGTGATGAGGCGGGAGGAGCGGGTGAGGCAAAAGATGCAGCAGAGGCCTTGGGTGTTAATGCACGGTCGGAATCACCGCCAGAAGAAGATGGAGGAACAGCCCGGATGGTTGGCCTTTGGGACTGTGAGGATACGACTTCCTCAAGTACCTCCAACCCTTTTGCGTCGTCTTCTAATTCGGGTGGGGGTGAGGATGGGGCAGTGCTCCCCTGGGAAAATCTTAAAGTCGATGGCGTAAAGGAAGATGCTATGAGGGTATCTTCCTCAGACATGCTAGTGGAGCCCGAGTGTCTGAAACCCTTCTTGCGTGACAGGATAGGCTGTGGTGTTCGCGCTCGGCTCGCCTCGAACTTTGCAATGGTACTGGCGACCTGGCTGACATTTGAAACGTGAGATCCTGGCCGCTCAAAGCCATAACCTGGCGCATGACGGGGTGGGGGCAGAACTTGCGAGGGTTCGCTGGGTACGGGATATTTCTGATAGATGTCATGGCCGGGATCTTGAACTATGCGGATGGTGGAACCCGAGTGTTGATTGGTTTGCGAGTTTGAGCGCTCGTGAAGTGGCTTGCGGACAGGAGACGAGTTTATCGACTGCGATTGTGGCGGCGAAAATCTGGGACCTTGTTCGAGTTTGTTTTGCGAGTCTGCGCGACGGTGTTGTGATGAGGACATGCTGTGGTGGTGTGGTGGGCCGAGGATGCCGATATGTGGGCTGGTAAACGCGTGCTGCGGAGAAGTCGAAACCGATCATTAATGATGGGGAATGGGTAGAAAAGGCAGTAAAAAGAGGACGTAAAGACCGTGTGTGAAGGTAGTCAATGAGTGACAAAAGTGCTAAAACATATCAAAAAGAATGGCGGCCCGCAGGCATTAACAGTAAGAAGAATTGATGGAGAGAGGGCGAGGAGTGGTGGTGAATCGAGGCAGACGGGCGTTTGGCAGCAGCTCGGCCTAAAGAGGGTTCGTGGCTCTATGCAGAAGCAGGTTCGCGCTGCAGGTGCGATCCAATTGACAGCTCAGCCCCGGCAAGCGATGGAGCACGACCCGCGAATTATGATGACTTGTACAGAGATGTCCCCAATGCGCACAATATGCCCTTTGTCTAGCCTATGCGGATGGCGACTGAAGGATATGAGCTTCTGGATGCGCGGTCCACGCGACGATGCGATGCGCCCGGGGAACCCTCGTCCAAACGGCTCTCCTAGCAGGTCGCCAGAGGCGCGTCGCGGTTGAACGTTAAAATGAAATTATATTTTAGGACGGGCCAGTGACGACGAGCAGCGATCCGGACTAGCCGTTGAGTGGCAGAGAAGCTGGCCAGTGGGCCTTGCGGTGTGCGTCCTGCAGGGGTAACGCGGGAGGTCGTGCTAAGTCGCCGGGGGTTTTGGCAGAGGGCCTGGGACGTGACAGGAGCCGAGACGAACGGACGATCGGGCGCACGTGACCAGCAGCGTGCGAGGGCGATTTGGGAGCCGGCGGTTTATCGATAGTCGGAGGCTGTCCTGTGCGAAACAACATGCTCGCGACAACGCGGGGGGGCCGAGGTCAGGTATAACAGCTCGCTCATGGTTCTTTTCCTAGTCCAAGTATAGCGTGTTTGACGACTTGCTGCTTTTTTGCAACATCTTGCCATGCCTCCGCCCCTCAACGGCTGGCGAGACAAGCTCAGCGCGCTCGAGGACTTGTACGAGCGACATGTCAAGGGCGGTAAGTGACGATCCATTGGCCTGCGAGGGCTCCCTTTGACTCCAAACCCTCCTAAACGCCTGCGCGACCCACATCGGACCAACTCTGTTGCGCTTCTTCGTCGAAACATTGCCATGGAGTCTAACGTGTCGTCAGTCCCCAAACCGCCCGTCCTCTCTGCGAGTGCTGCGGCGCTTCTGTCGGTACGTTTGTTTCAAGCTCCCACCCCCACCACCATTGCCCTTCCTCTCACCCAATCGCACCGCATGCGCCAAACATGCTGAAGTACAGCCAACACCTGCGCCTAAATATGGCTAACACACGCGACTGCAGGCTGCCTATGTCTTCATCTACGTAATCCCCTTCTACCTGTCGCCCGCAACGCGACCCTCTCCGACTCTCACGCGCGATGCACCGTCGTCGATACGCGCCCGTGTACGCGCAGTTACCTTGTCCACTGCCCTATGCTCTGTCCTCACCGTAATCGTACTCTACCAACATGATGCGTCCGCCATGGAGATCCTCAGCCTGCTTGGCATATGGCCTGTTTCACCCGTAGATACCATCCGGACCATGCTGTTGGTCGTGATCCTCTTCGCAGGCCCAATCTTCGAGCATGGTATTGTAGACGATGGTTGGAGAGACTGGGTCAAGCTAAACGGTGTCAACGAGTCCTTGAGTAGCTGGATCGGATACCGGAATTTTGTAGTCGTACGTTGTCTACTTCGAGTTATTTCCTGCTCCGCTAACACTCGCACACCAGGGCCCCGTCAGTGAAGAGCTCGTCTGGCGCTCCTTCATCGTCCCCCTACATGTCCTCGCCCAGTTCTCCGGCAAGCAAATCGTGTTCCTCACACCACTGTACTTCGGCATCGCGCATCTGCACCACCTTTACGAATTCCGCATAACCCATTCTGAAGTCCCGTTCTTCATCGCCGTGCTTCGTTCACTCTTCCAGTTCACATACACATCGCTCTTCGGGTTCTTCGCCGCCTTCGCCTTCATCAGGACTGGAAATGTGTACACGTGCATGCTAGCGCATACCTTTTGCAACTGGATGGGGCTTCCACGCTTCTACGGTCGTGTGGGAGTTGAAGCTGGCATCCCCATCGGACCGCCAGATGTCGATAAGAAAGATGATGAGCAAAGGAATGTCCCAGCTTATCAAGGGAAGGGTGTTGGATGGACAGTAGCCTATTACCTCGTACTCGTAGCTGGCGCTCTAGGCTTCTATCATCAGCTGTTTCCGCTGACCGAGAGCAGCCATGCTCTACCTGTTGACTTGAGTAAGTAGTAAGGACATCTGCGTGCTTGGTGTCTTCGGAACGCAGAAAAGGGGACGCGCAGAGTTACACCGTACAGTCGCACACGACGTACAGCACAGCAATTCAGATATCATAGAGGTGGTTATCGTAATCTCGCAATAGCCCACCAGTTATCCTTCTCGTAGCCCGATTCCAACACCACTCCGCCAGCCTGCTCAATATCACCCTCAAGCTCCCCTTTCCGATACAGGTGATAATATCTCAAGAATGTCTTGTCACCATCTGGCTTCGGCGCCTCTTCTTCGTGAGCTTGACTCTCATCCTTCTTCTTCCGTCCTCTCTCCTTGTCCTTTTTCTGCTTCAAGACCCACGGTACCATGACATCCTGCTCGTGACCCTCGTCCCATCCTCTTCGACTATCTTTTTGCTCGAGTGCCCAAACGTAGATCAGTGCTCTACCACCTTCCACCTTACCATCACCGTTCCCATGAGATGATGATGATGGCCGCAGTAGGTCCAAAACACATTTCACGGCCTCCACCCTCCTTGCTGGCGTAGATAAATGATGCACGACCGCTATCGAAATAGCAAAATCAAATACACCATTTGGATGAGGTAGCGAGAGGTTGTCTGCTACGACCACATCGTGCGGCTCATGTTGTTTGGCAATCTTGACAAGGTTTGTTGATCTACATCGTCGTTAACCCTAGAACAATTATTCGTAATGCTCGAAACAGTCATTCAAACTTACCGGTCACTACCCACGATCCACACTTTCTTATTAACAGCCAAGTATTTTCCGTTTCCACATCCCACATCGGCACCTATAGCGCCATCACACTGTTCCTTCAGAAAACGTTCGACGATAGGCCATGGCTGATATCTTGTTAGTCATGACTGCTCTCTTTCTGATTTATGCCACTAGTAGCAAGGGTGGACGCACACCTTGTAGCGAGTGGACGAAAAGTGCGACGCAATCTCTTCGTAGACCGAATGCACGTGTTCAGCTTCATAAGATACACCTTGGGTCTCTGAAGCCGCCATTGTGTTATTGCATCGATGGATATGTGTAGATGACCGCGCAGGAAGTTCTAAAGTGAGTAGATTGATGGGTGATGGGGCCAATGGGGGGTGGAGGGGGTGCCAAGACGCTGCCGAGGAAGGCAGCTTTTGGCGCTGTCTTTGTCGCTCAACACTGCCATCTGCTCATGCTTCGATTCAGACCATTGTCTTACCAAGCCTACCATATCCCAAACACATGCGAGTATGAACAGATCATGACGACTTCGATATCGACTGATTTGCTTTGAGATGAACCTTCATTGAAGTTCCAGGTTTGGACACTATTCCAGGACCATCGGAGAACTTGCATCTCTCAGGAAAGGCAGTAACCTTTGACCCAGTATGGGTCCAACATGAGTATACAGGCCTCAAGATCGGTTCAACGTTTGAGAGATAACTGTATAGTCTCGTATCATGGAAGCGACTAGAGAAAAACGTACACCAGTTTCATCCTTGAGGTCTCGTTGGAGGTACTCGGCGTATGCTTGAAGCGATGAATGCCTATCCTTGCGAAGAGTCGAAGAGAGTGTGTGTATGAACAATATGCCCATACCTACAGATACCTACTCGGGCTCGCCCAACGAGAAGTATCTAATCGAGTGTGCGTCCGCATCGGATGGCATCTACCAATCGAAATTGGTGTCATGATTTTATAGGCCACACACTCTGCTGAACTTATCGATTTACTTCATGCAAGTTTATGAATCCAGAGTTCGATAATAAATTCGTCCCCTCAGGTACAGAGTAGTGTTACTCCGAACGGTCTTCTAGCTCAGCAAACCTTAGGTTAAGATCATTATCCCAAAAGATTAGATGAAGCAGAAATCGATTCAACACGATACGGGCCTTAGACCACGATATTGGCGACCAGAACACAGAGGAGAATGTGGCGTCGCCGTAATCAACAGAATTCGTCACATCTAGCGAATCCGGTGGCATGCGAAAGCTTTTGACCAACTCACAAAGAAAAGCTTGAAAGCTCTTCAACATAGCAAGACACCTCTTGAACTTTCGAGCTTCAAATTCCAGCACTTTTGTAGGGAGCTGACTTGAAGAGCTAAGAAAAATCCTTGTCGCTTGTCGACGCCATGGCACTTCCGTATTCGAATATGTGTGTTTAACCGGCAGCACGTCACTGGTCAACGACGACGCAAGTTTAGATGGAACTTCATCAATACATATTGCGCCGCGTACTGAACTGCGAATCGTCAATAGAAGAGGCCTTCTGCCGCGTGGCACTCGCGGTGCCTACAAGATTGATCATCTGCAAAAGATCCAAAGCTCTTGGCTGCCTGCATCTTACACAGTTTTACTTTCAGATCGTTTTGAAGCTTATCAAACGCCCATACCGCTCAAGATGCATATATCAACCCTCCTGGCGACCATCTTGTTCGTTACCGCCGCTGTCGCAACGCCCTACCCTTGGGCTGCACCACAAGCCAGTCTTGCTCCAACTCCAAGTGGTGTGCGAAAACACAATCGCACGCACAGGAACAGACACAAAGAGCCAACACCTACCTTTAAGCAGGGTTGTGAATGCGCAATGCCGGTTGTGCCAATGAACCTGCTCAGCGCGAATGAGAGGTGCTTGATGAAACAAGCTGCTGCTATGGGTTGCTATCTAAGCTCCAAGGGCGGATGTCCATCGCCGGCACCTGCTGTAAGTACAGATGTGAAGAATGAGTAGAGAGTGCTGACCCGTTGTAGTGCGGACTCGGACCCCTACCAGGCATACCTATGCAATGAAGCCAGAGTCGTGATGCGCTCGATCTTCAGAAGATCGGACATGGATGTCGTGTACAGACCTCGCATGGTATCGGACACAGGTATCTAGAACACCGTGGCGTGAAGAGTTGCCATAGTCACCCTCCTACCGAATTCAGCCGTTGCGTATAAAATCTCAGCGTCTTCATGCAGAACGTTTTGTTCTTCAATTCATATTTTCAAGTAGTCTTCAGTTTTCTACAAGATGGCGATCGGCAAGTAACCTTGATGGCGATACCATTCGTGGGGCATCGTCACAGCTAAAACGCCTGACCGAGCCCAACATGTTCCCCGAGACTTCTTCAGTTGCAACCCGCGTTCCTCTCACCTCCGTTGAGAGATTTGAATGATCCCGCAGGCCGTCTACCAAAGCTTCTTCCTCTTTCCCTGGCTATCATCTACACATCCACTAAGTGCCCTCTCGTTAGCACCAGCGTCTCGAACTACCCTCAACCTATCCTTCTTCAACGATCTAGCATGCCTGCCTGCGAACTCTCTGTCCGGACATCCATCGTCACCGGATTCGATAAGCGGTTCAATATCTGCTGCCCGGAGCAGCTTAGGTACTTCACTTAGCAGAGCTCGGTACTGACCTTTCTCTCTGCACCAGAGTATGAGTGCTGTCAGTGGTCCGGCGTCCGGGCCAGTAGGCAACGACTGTAAGCCGTGGGCGAGGGCGAGAAGTGGGTAATCGATCTTCTCCCAAACATCGCAGACCCATCCTTCAGCCGTATGGTTCGTGGTCATGTCGATGACTGAGGATCTGAGAGCAGGTGAAGGTGTAGGTGTGTCTTTGCCGACTTCGTCGATGTCCATTTCTCCAACCTCCTCGAGCTTGACGCAGTCCCTCTTCCTTGCAGCCATAGCAGCACATGAGATATTACCTGGCTTCACCACCTCATCGCCTTGAAGCCCTCGCGTCATGATAAGGAACTCCCGTATCATACTCCCCTTCACGCCAGCCTTTGCCATGCGCTCCGCTGCGTGACCCCAATAGTAATGCTGCGGAAAGTAAGACAGCAACTCCATGATTGTAAACTCCGTATCCCCAAGAAGAGCGATGTTCACAGTGCAAGGTGTTGCAACACTCTTGAATGGGCAGAACTGGTTCTTGTCCTTCATAGAGTCTTGGTTCTGAAGCAGCGGATTGAGTTGGATGTTTGGTGTGGTAGGGGTCGACTGCATAGAAAGCACCATAAGCTCGGGGATAGGCGACTTGAGCTTGCGTGTTGAACGAAATGCTCCACTTCCGTGCCATTTCTTCCCTGGCGTGGGAATGAAGTCAGCGGTTTGGTTGGTCTCTTTTTCTGATAGCCAACGCCAAGCGTCGCTGAGGTCGAAGATCTTATTCGGACAATCGCGAGCCTCGCGCCATGGATAAGTAATCATGGGTATGAAGGTGTTCGAATTAGTGGGGCTGTTGGTTCCACCGCCATTACATTGCTGGTCTATGGTGCGACGAGGGGCGTGGAAATCCACTTGCCCTTCCCACGGCAGCGTCCAATCCACACCATCGAAATTGTACACCTCGGCGTCACTTCCGTCACTCAGCTTGAGCATCTCAGGCAACAAGCCGAACTCAGGGTGCAACTCGCCACCTGGTACGTACTTTTGTAATCCTTGCTGCTGAAGTTCCTCGCAGGTAAGTGGTATTGGGCCAATAGGAGTCAGCTTAAACGCTTGACGGTAGGGATCGAAAGCTATTGGAAGAAGTTCGGACCAAGAGACATGCTTCCATCCCATCGGAAGTACGAGTTTGGGGACAAGTGTGAAGTTGGGGAGGCCACCGACGATAGGAACGAACGCTTGGTGGAAGAGGAGACGCGGGTCCATTGTCGGGTATGGATATGAGGGATGTGTGCTTCCTCCTGGAGGATACTGTAGTTGCCAAGTGAGAGAATGAACGGTCGGTAGTCCCTCGAAGGGAACCGGCTCGCTCTTGATAGGTACAATACTGAAATCAGCATGCTCGCCACGATTGGGTGCCACTTGTGAAGGTGGTAGTTTCTGAGCAGTCTTTGGGTCTGTAGCCGGTAGCTGGACAGTGTCTTGATCAAAGACAGCTGATTAGCTGGAGCGCTGACAATGCTAGCATTTGAAGGACTCACAGATTGGTTTCGCCTGCGTACGCAGTCTAGTACTCCGGCGAGCTTTTGTTGGATTAATCGAGCGTTCGAGCTCGCGAGCAAGTATTGCATCATTTTGAGTAGCATCATCAACTGCTCGCAAAATTGCAGTGTTAACATCTTCGGCTTCGCTCTTATCCGTATCGGTGCAATGCTGAATCAGTATGGAGGACTGGTCGACAGCGTCCTTGGTTTGCCCTCGGGTGGTTTGCCAAACTAGCTCTTCTTTCGCGGAGCCGGCCGATGGTGTATAATGCGTTTCACTGTGGAAGGTAGGAGTGTTTGGAGACAACAAACCATGCCAGAGCACTGGATTGCGCTTCTTCCTGGGTGTACGTGGCCCTTCCATCAATGCTGACTCTTGAGAAGGTTTGCTGTCGGGGGTAGTGGTTTCACCATCCAGGATCTGGTCGACGCAGTCATCTCCAGCGGGTGACACGTTCTGATTTTGTGATAATACTACAGTTTGCGGTGAGTTGACGTTGCCTGCCCATACGTAAGTACCCATTTCGCAAATCATATGTTTGCTCAGCCCACTCACTTGAGCTTATGTACGGCTCTCTGGTAGGAGAGGGCGTGCGGTAAGATTTCCCCATAGTGTCGGCTGTCGTCATTGGTAAATTTGAAGAGCGAGAATCAAGAAAAGCACAATGCAAGTCGGGCGACTAGAGGTTATAATTCCGCATTTAGCATCACAATGAGTAAGATGAGTGATGATGAAAACAACGATGCTAAAATTTGTGGAGAAGAAGATGAGGACGAAAAGAGATAGTAGTTTCACCTTCACCGCTGGACATAACAAGTTTGAGTAATATCTACTCATTTCTACCAGGTCGTACCTAAGGCACCAATCGCTGGGCCATCTCCATCGAAAAACTCCTCGTCCAAGAGTTGGAGGATCACTTGTTGACCAACCCACTGTTCCTCCGCCGCAGGCCGGATCCTCTCCGGGGGCAGAACGAAACCAAAGTCTCCGGTGTCGGGTAATTCGATGGTCATGGAAAACTTAGCGCGACCAATAGTGTAGACATGGTCGATCGATGCACCAGTCGTCGGGTACAAGGTCGCTCCGCTAGGACCGAAGACGTACGTAGTTGCATTGGTTGAGGAGTACAATGCCCGTGCGTTCGATGAACATCATCATTCGATGAACACCCCCACTTCAACAACAACACAACTTCAACGCGTCATAGCTCAACCACCATGGATCCGATTCAAGAAGCGATTGCAGAAATCGAATCGCGCGAACCAGGAGATAAATTCTCGTACCAACAAATCGCGAAAAAGTATGGTGTCAACCGCGTTACGCTCGCTCGAAGGCACAAGG